TATATATGATTTTTTAAAATGTATTTCTTTTAAGAGGCGTCACCTGAAAGAGTATTTGACTATTTGCAAACAGTGTCTTCCTGATGCAAAAGAATTGTTATGATACAGGCATATTGACCCAGTACTGACCAATCAAAGTTGGCTCATAAGCACATCAGCACTTGCGGACGACTGTTGGTGCACAGATTTTCCTCCATTCCTGGATTTTTGTCCTACATCTGGCATTCCCAAAAATGTGACACAATTCTGTCAGAGGCAGAACACGGAGAACCCGGAGCCATTCTGTCTGTAAGGATGACAGACCTATTGTGCCACTGTCAATGCAGCAACTGCCTAAGGCTGTATTGCTTTTCCACACTCCAGAACTTCAGATGAAACTGGTACATGCACAGGAATTCACGCTGATGTCAGCAAAGAATTTTTGTATAAACCTGAGCGCAAATCTAACAACTTACAAGATTTCGAAATATCAGAAACACAAAGAAGCAAATTTTGATTTTAATGATTAAAAAAACCTATTGGATCATTTGGATAATTTTTGTCATTTCGTTGTTAATGCTGCTAAGCAACTGATACAGAAATCAACCGCTATGTCTAAAATTCTCCATTTACCCGTGGCATACTATAAAACTTAAATTATCTATGTTCTCCAATTATATGTAGTTATCAACACATCTTGGTTTATTTAAGCTCTGTGTGTGACCAGTTTAAAAAGCTTTAATGACATCTTACAAACTGTCATTCAGTACAAGGGCTGGAATAGCATTTCACCAAATCAGGACTGCAACATAAATGCAACTACACTGATCATTCATGCATATAATAATAATAATAATAATATCCTCATCCTGACTATAATAGTGCATGATAATAACAAGTCTTCAATATTAACTCCACAGTCCTAAAAACATCATCAATGAAGAGCAGCAGGGATTGAGAAATCTACGAGTATGTCAGGAGAGAACCCAAGTCCAAGCTGGTGCATATATCTGAAGATAATGTGTCTGTAGAAGTTTATGCAGATATGTCTATGTTCTTGGTATGGAGTCAAGGTGGGGAAATAGCTTGAGCAATCTCTAAGTATCAGCATATGTACTATTGGCTTTAATCTGGGTAATAATATGAAAACATAATTGCCATGCAGGGCGGTTCAACCTCAGAGCCATTCAGCTCTCGGGTTTACTTCTCTGGTCACAATTTACACTCTGTATGCATGTTTTTAAGAAAGAAAATTCAAATGGAGAGTGAATAACTTTATAAATCATAACAGGCCATTATTACAAAAAAGGAAATAGCATTCATAAAGTGACATTTTTGTGTAAGCAGAAGAAACCAAAAACACATGGAAGGTGAGCATGTGAACTCAGCCGCAGCGAACTGAATGAGGAGTATAAAGGAAGTTTGCTGTGTGTTAGAGGAAGATAAAGGCTGGGAGAAATGGTCTGGCTCTCATGGCTTGACGACAAACAGAATTGCTGTTTTATAATTTGCTAAAATAGCCATCCTGAAATATCTTGTAGGTCTTAATAAAATTGCCTCCGTCCATTCTCCAGTCGCTGCATTCTGTGGATTTATTCACCTTCTGGAAGATTGAGGTTTCTCACAGAAACAAACATGGAACCTCTGGGACTCTAGTACTGAAGTTGTTATTGACATATATAGCCCCCATCAAAAAGATATAACATTTCAATAAGAAAAACAAGCAAAGTCATCTAGTTACATGGTGGCTCAGTGGGTACAACTGTAGCACCTCCAGGCTGGCTGTTCAAACAATGCACTGGCTTTATGTGTGTAGAGCCTGCATGTTCTCTATATGTACTCTGGTTTCTTCTTGTGGTCCACAGACATACAATTAGTTTGTCATCTCTGAATCTCTCTATATATTCATGTGCTCTGTGATGGACTATGTCTGTCTGGAATTGGCTCCCCTGAGACCCTGACCAGTATAAGCAGCTAGAAGATAAAGGGACAAAGTTACAAAGCACAAAATCATTTTCTGTGGTACTATCTGCAGAAGAATAATACACAAAACACACAAAGCTATATTATACATTAACTACTCTTGTGTGTGATGTTATTGCAAGACCTAGTTTTTGATTTGAGCAAATTATGCGTTATGAGTTGGTTGGGTAGTAACAACTTTGCTTGCACCAAAGACTATATAAAGATTTTGTTAAATGTTTCATCTTGCATCCAATCTCTACCAGATCAATAGCTACATTTCCCTAAAGGCTGAAGACGTGTCAACACCTCTCTGATTTGCATGTCTTTTTATGACTTTGCATATACTGTACATATCGCCATTGTCCTAAGGCAGTTTCATATCACAAAGGTGCTAATTTCTTAAGTGCTGTGCAGTTAATAGGTATGTCTATTGGCTTTGTATAAAGATTAACGCTCACTGAACCTAGCGGCATAGGAACCAGCAGGGAAAAAGGGATGTATACCCCCCAATATTTAATTTGGCTTCATCCACCCCCTCATAAAATAGACCTTTGCATTTAAATTATTCAGTTGTGTCCCCCCCAAACACACTCCTGTGCCTTTGACTGAACCTATACCAAAAGGATGACTTATCCCGAAGGAAGCTTTGTGAAAGTATTTGTGTCCAAAATTTGATTAAAAAAGCATTATTTAAATGGCTTGTCTT